TATTGCCTCCCCCAAAATAAGTTCTTCGAGAAGCCACACAACGCTGGAGGTGGTTCTTCAAATCCTTATAGCAGTGCTGAAACTCGAATACTGGAATAGCCTTTAACCCATTCGCTGCCAAGGACGAGTATACTCGTCTTTGGCAGGGTGTCACGCATTGCCAGGACGAGTATACTCGTCCTGCTTTAAATATATTATAACATGCAGGCTCTTTTGAAGGCCCATTGCCAACGACGAGTATACTCGTCTTTGGTTTTCTGCTTCTAAATGATTATGTATGATAATATATGTGCTCTTACCAAGAAATAACAGGGTTTTGGTAAACAATAGCACTCAAAATATAAATGGCAATAGGAATGACTTCATATAATTTAGGCTTGGCAGCGAATGGGTTAACTGGTCGGTTACAGCCACTACAATTTGAATTTTATATTTCCATCACTTTTGGCAGGAATTGTATAGCCTGAACATCCTTAATTTACATACCTTCTAATTTAAAGCGAAAATAAGTAACTCCTGTAGAGGAGGAGAGGGAGCAGGAGGAATGTTAGGTTTAGAAAGACACTGTGATATTATTAGGCTCTAAGAACATAATATGTAAAGAGACAGGATGAAAGAGTGAGATGGAGTGGATGTATAAAAAGACTGTAAACCAAGTCCATTTCTGGGCCAATAGGCTGAAATAAAGTTTATATATACATACCTTCTAATTTCTGATTTTAATACCGATTAAATTGCTTAGAAACGATTTCCTGACCGCATGAAATCGCATCAGTCATTTAGAATTGTAGCCGTGTTTGAATCAATGAAACGAGAATAACCGGGAGTGTTCTCTCTGTTCACAGGAGCGATGTCTTCCTGGAACCGTATCTGCAGCAGCACGGCACCGTCCAGGTCGTCAGCTCGCCGAGCACGCCTCCGCCGAATCCGCTCCAGCATCATCAGCTTGCGCAGCTACATCATGTACAGGTGAGTCAGAGTGCGTCGTACGCGTCTGTATCGACCAAACCCGACCAAAACGAATTCCACGGTCCACCTACTTTCGAGCCTGAATCATCGCAAGTACAGAAATTCATCTTCGGTTATACAAATTAAAATACAACGCCATCTAAGGTAAAGGAGGTAGTACCTGGACACTTTTGAACATAAATTTTTTATAATGTATTCAATTTACTATATAGGGGGTCCTGCAAAATGTGTGATGACCTTTCGTAGACCGCAGGACCTTTCAAAACGCAAGGCCGGGTTCCGGGGGGCCCCGATTAGTCAGTTAGATTCCTAAGAATTACGAGACGTTTGCACGCCATGATTTCTCAGGGTTAACTTTATACGTCCTCCGGGATCCCTGGAGGGTCTCAAGATCAATTAGTCCATTTCGCGTTACGAGCCTGGCGGTTACTCTCCGCCGGAACTGCGGAAATTACGTCTGGGGACGCAAAGGTCTGTTTACAAAGCGTGCATTGTCCCCTGAAAGCACAGGATTTATCCGCGAGTTTCTGAGCGATTACCTGTAGATGGAACGGGAGGATGAGTCCCTGGGCAACGAGGAGGAGACGCACGAGGTAGTAGAGCTACTTTTGTGCGCGTCTCCTTCGCCGGGTTCCGGTCGGGTTTCCCCAACTTTACAGAGGGAACGAAACGGAAACATCTGATATTTGCTAAATCGAAATGAAACCCTTGTTTATTACGCGCGTGGAATACAAGATGTGTAAATTAAGTAATGAGACTGACTTTTTTTAATTTGTTTATTCGAATAAAATTACATCTAAATATTGCCTCCCCCAAAATAAGTTCTTTAGGAAGCCACAGAACGCTGGAGGTGGTTCTTCAAATCCTTATAGCAGTGCTGAAACTCGAATACTGGAATAGCCTTCAACCCATTCGCTGCCAAGGACGAGTATACTCGTCTTTGGCAGGGTGTCACGCATTGCCAGGACGAGTATACTCGTCCTGCTTTAAATATATTATAACATGCAGGCTCTTTTGAAGGCCCATTGCCAACGACGAGTATACTCGTCTTTGGTTTTCTGCTTCTAAATGATTATGTATGATAATATATGTGCTCTTACCAAGAAATAACAGGGTTTTGGTAAACAATAGCACTCAAAATATAAATGGCAATAGGAATGACTTCATATAATTTAGGCTTGGCAGCGAATGGGTTAANGGACAGCCACTGCCGTCTTGTCCCACTTCTACGTATTAAGTTTCAAAAGGGATTGTAAACTTGGACAGTAAATTATTAAATACATATCTATTATGTCCAAGTACTGGTTCCAAAATTCGTTTTGTCCCAGTACTACTTCCTTTACCTTATGATGGACGTGTGGAGGTCAGATCTTCTGACGACCGCATGAACGAATAGAGACGCTCGATAGATACTGTAACGATCGCTGGAACCGACGAAGACGGTGGTATCGGAAAATGTTAACGACAGCCAGCGAACGTGTGCATTCCGGTGGCGCGCAATTAAGGGATTCGCAATTAGCTGGAAGGGTGTTCAGCACGCGTCGCACGTCCTCGTTTAATCCGTTTAACTTGAACGCAGCGTCCCGTTGTACGTCAGTCTGCATTTCAAATTAAATTACACTCGAAACTCCGGCACGCGGCAAGTCCCCTCCTCGCGAGCCCTCCTCGACCCTCGCGCCCGTTGCACCCAACAAAAATTAGGGCCGAACGGAAAATCGTAACTGATCGACGTTTGCCGTATCTCGGTTTTAAACGAACCACAGTTTTCCATCGATTCCCAAGCTTTCCCAATTAATCGACTTCGGAAACGGTGATCTCGTTGCCGAAATCCAATCGAACCAGTTGATTTTTTGTATTCTTCCTATACGTCGATGGTAATTTCGTTGTGTGCGGCTTTCAGAGTAAACGAGGACACTGATCTCGGATCAGCCTATAAATAATTACTAAACGAGGACTCGTAATCGTGTGAGCAATAAATCAAAGCGGGCGTCGATTAAATCTTTGCCCACCTCTGCTGATTCGAATAATCCTACGATACCCCTAAACGGACCATAAAAAGAGCGCGATCAATCTCGTTTCGAGCTCGTAGGACGATGAACGAATCGGGACGAATCGGTCAACGTCGATCAATGTGCTTTAGATCTGATGACACCTTCGACTAAATCTGCACATCAATTAAGAATGTATCGGCTATACAGTCAATTCCAAAAGTTTATGTACCTTAGAAAAACGCATTTACTATAATTAAAAAGAAATCAGACGTCAGAAGAACAATGATTTCCGATGAAAAAAGTTCAATTGATTTCTAAACAATAAAAATTGATAGAATTTGTTACACCAATACCTCGCTTTGCGTCGTTTCGTTTTGCGTTTTTTCGAAGTTGCGTCGCTGCTTAATTAGTACTAATTTTCACTGTGCGTCGTTAGATTTTCGAGGTTGCGTTGTTTTGGGTTCGAGTCTTTAATTTTTTTTTTAAATTTTCTTTTTTTTCTAAAAGATGGCAACACTTTTG